AGTAAATTATTTATATATTATAATTATTATAATAAAGTATCTGTGTTATGGCGTGGTGTTCCCATCTATTTGCTGGAGCTCGGTGCTATTCGTGGGATCTGGCATCTGGGACATGGGCAAAGGTGAAGGTTTGGGCTAAAACGATGTGCTTTGTTCGTCACCACGACATCTTCAGCTGACTCCGGGTCACTGCATAGTGGACCGACCACCCACACCGGGGATTCCCACATCGTTCCCTTTAGTATTGGATTCACTTGGGTATCACAAGTCAGACAATCCCACAGTCCGCCAGCTGGAATATCAATACCTCCTCAGAGCCAGAGCTGATAGCAACTGTGGAACCTTCTATAGCCACCCCAAGTTTCCGCCGCCGATAGTGTGGGTGAAGCCACAGTACTTTATCTGAGCCATGCATCACCCAACTCTGGTCTGAGCTTAACCAATAACCTTGGAAACGTGGACGCTGAATCATCTCATCTGCGGTCTCAGTAGTCAAAGATAGGTCCAATGCGACGACGCCAAGGTTTGTGTGAATGAATCTGCTGGTAGGATCGAACGATACTTTGTATATGCGATAATCAAAGCTCAGAGTTCGTAGGCAGTAGCCTGTCTCAATGGCCCATATATTGACCGTTTGGTGGTCCAACGATGCGAGAAGCTTCGAATTGCGCGATATAGTGAGGGAGGCAATGTTCCAGGAGGTAGTGCATCTGAAAGGTGGCCGCATTGTTTGCAGGCACCGACCAGACTCGATGTCCCATATTTTGATACTGCAGAGACATGCGGACGCGAGAAGCTGAGAGTCATCCGAGAAGGCCGGAGAGGACATTTCGCAGTCATTGGAGAGACATACTTCCAGCCTTCGTGTAAGCTCACCCAGAGCGATATTCCAGATGTGAATAGTTCCGCTCTTAGACACACACGCAACGAGTCGGGAGTCGTAAGAGATCATGGTCTGCGCAATATCATCTTGACAGTCATGCAGTGTGTCTAGTAACAGTCCTGTAGCGACATGCCAGATGTCAAGAGAACCAGAAGACTTGACGGGCAACGCGAGAAGCTGTGAGTTGTGCGAGAAACTGACCGACGTATGAGCACTGACTACCGTCTGTATGCACGTCCCTGTGGTGGTGTGCCAGATGTTGTGAATCCCTGGCCGACATTCCGCTACCAGCAAATATGGACTTTGCGAGAAGCAGATCCAATTGGTGGAAGCAAATTGTTGTCGTATCCTTTGCAAGCACTCCCCGGTGGTTGCATTCCAGATCCTAATACTCCCACTTTGCAACGATGCTGATGCAACTAACTCTGTATCAGGGGACAAGCTAACCAATGGGTCGGCATCGCCCTTGTTCCAGCCGGCGTATTGGGGTTGGATCTGGTAGGTTTCAGGCTTCACGTCCCATATCTTGACTGTGTCATCGAATGAGCCTGACGCGAGCCAGGATGAGTCGTGCGAGAAGGCGACTGATTCCATGAATCCCGAATGGCCAGTATATACCTGCAGGCACTGGCCAGTGCTAGCATCCCAAAGCCTCACTGTTGAATCCAACGAAGCAGATGCCAGAATGCTTGAGTCGTGCGAGAATACGAGCGACACCGGACGGCTTTGATTCGGTTTTATGATCTGTAAGAACTCGAAGGCGACCATGTCCCAAATTCTGATGCAGTCGTCATCGTCGCCATCGAAAAAATTGTCACACTCTGTGTCTGTCCATTCAACCCACGCTAGCATTCTGGAGTCATGAGAGAAGATGATGGAGTGTGAATATCGCGTGGACTCAAGAGTTTGGATGCATTGGCCGCTTTCGGTGTGCCAGATCTTGATGTCCCCTCCGTCACAAGACGCGAGTAGTGTCGAATCGTGAGAGAAGACGACAGAGTGTGAGTCTTCTGTGCCAGTGAGGATATGAAGAAGCCTCCCCGTTAAAACATCTTTGATTTCAATTGTTCCGTATGCCTCCGACCAGGCGAAGAGCCGTGAGTTGTGCGAGAGTGCAAAGCAACGGACTTCAGACTCAGACCCCCATGATTGCGCACGCCGCCATGTCGCGGTATGCCAGACGTCGACGTTACGATTAGCAACCACTACAAGAAAACTAGAGTCGTGTGAGAATATGACGGTGGCGACAAGACTGCGTACCACGAGTGTCCTCAAGCACTTCCAAGTTGCCGTATCCCAGATCTTGACGGTTTTGTCATAAGAGCCAGTCGCAAGTAGCCTAGAGTCATGGGAAAACGAGACAGAAGAAGTGCGTTTTTCATGGCCGTTCAGTGTCCGTATACATGGGTTCCAGGGTCTGCCTACCCTGGGCAGTTTAGCGAGCACAGATAAGACTTCGTGCGCAAAAAGTCGGCGTATCGAGCTACTTTCACCGCAGAACACTATTGCTGAACTGTAGAGCTGGAGAGGGTAGGCTTCAATGATGCTGATGCAATTTGAGATGAAGCTCTCTGCGTCAGAGATAAAACTAGTGAGTTCAATACTATATCCAGACTGCAGACACATTCAGTACCTGTTTTATCGCCTCCCATAAGCTGAGTCTGCAACTCACCTTGATGAGCAGTCGTAGCGGCCGGAAGATGTCGAGTATCTTGGACGCTTGCCCAAGCAAGCATAAGGCTTCAAGCCAATGGAGGAAGTGATTTTGCAAGAAGGTATGCGTTTCATCACCATCCCGGACTTGTGCTTTGCCTCGAACGAGATGATGGATCCAATGTAGGCAAGCATATCGGACACTTGGCGGTAGTCTACGTTCAAGCTGTTGTTCGTCGACGTCTCTGCGCCGGCTTCCCGGATTGTTCAAGTCACATATATCTCTCTGAAGGCGGGATAAGAGTGTTAGACACCGGCTAGCGATTTTCCGGTGATGCAGCTGCTCGTCCAGCCAGAACTCCGCCGGCACACCTCTACCCTGGTCACTAAGAAAGTTCCGAAACAAGTCATCGGCGATGAAAGAATGGACATCTATAGCAGGATGGAGAGCGGCGAGCTTGTCGCTTATCGCTACACTCGTGCAATTGAGGAGGTCTGCTACTAAGGATATGCCAACGGGCTCCGCGAGAAGGGTAATCAAACCAATGACGTCTTGGAATTCTTGCACCAATCGTGTCCGTTCTTGGCCGGTCTTTCCCGCTACCAAGCTTTCGAGAACTCTCTGGTAAAATGCCAAGCGTTCGTTGTCACTCGCCTCTGGCGCTGCCGGGGGATTGTGTAGTCCCCTGGATCCTGGCACGCCAGCTGCGTCCATCATCAACAGTCTTTGATGGCTACCGCGATTGTCTTGACGGACATCGTGGCAGACCCTTGACGAGATTTGGATGTCATCCAAGGTCGTGTCGCCGACAGAGCTCCATAAGTCTGTTCTTACCGGGTCATGGTGCACAGGGGGAAGGCTTAGAGTCGCAGACAAAACTCGGTGCGTTGCCAGGTCTAGGGATGGTTCCCTGACCGCCATGGCCGGTGGTTCGACTTGTTGAGTCGCAGCAACATCATCACTATATGAGAGTGTAGTGTCGATAGCAGCCAGAGTCTCCGGGGCTGTTTGGCAAGAAAACTCGTCGGAGTTTGGCGTGGCTTTTGCAAATTAGCACTTGCTGTATGCTACAGGCCCCTCTCACGTAAATTTTTGCACTTACAGGCGCCAGATGAAGGACAGTATAGGACATCATGGTTGATACCTTCTTGCCTCATAAACCGATCAATCTTGCGCTTGGCGACTATCTCGCCGCGGACTTTAAACGTCAACGGTCTCTGCTCGGGCTCGGCAAGGTTTCGAAATTGTTGTTTTCGCACAATAGCCTTCATCTCTTGTCTCGTCAGATTCTTGCCAATTTTCCATCGCTTCAATGCAGATTTGTATTGCCTCTCCCTGGGCGAGCATATTAGCCAAAACGACCACACCCTGGCTTTGTGCAGTGACGGTGATTCATTCTCACGTTGCTATAAAGCCAAACTGAGTTTCTATGTCACTGATGACTGCACATAGTGTCCTTGTTTTGAGATATTGGATGATGTAAGGCTTCACCTCGTCCCAGTCTCCTTCTCTCAAGGTACGAGATTTTGGCGCTCGGGGTGGACGCGATGGAGGTTGCCCCGGGCCCATGGTGCTCGCTGTTGGCAGAGCGTCACCCGGAGCAAGAACTTTGCATTTGCACCTACTAGAGGGTTCTAGTGGTGCTGAAAACGCCTGCAGAAATTTAATGTGCTAGCGGTGGTGATGGGCGATGTTGGATTATGACGGAATTGACGCTTGTGCAAGGCTGAAGTGAGGAGTCGACGCCAAAAAGTACTATCCACGTGCGATGCCCATGCTGTTGGTCAGCAGGAGTTCAGGTTGCCGCGCTGTGGTAGGCATCAAATAGTCAAGTCTGGTACTTTTGGTACAACCGTTGACGCAAAAGTACTATCCTCCGGCCGGTCGGCAGCTGCTGTGGGGTCAATAACATTGAAGCTTCAAATAGTATTTTTGGTTTTGACTTTTTGTGTTTGGCCCCTGGCCGGGGTACTCGGAGGCAGACGACGACAGGGATCCGCTGCAAAAACGCAAGTCCCCGACGTGTGATTCGCTGTGGAGTTTAAGAACTCCACCAGACCGCTCTTCAGACACTTACACCTCACTCGTCGTGCCCAAAACACATGTTGCCGTTGAACATGGCACTTTTAGGACTGGAAGCCTCATTCTTCTGAGGGACCGAACAGTGATTTGTCGATCCATGCACAAAAAAGACGCTCTCTGGTACCGCTCTGTCCCAAACCCTCATGGCGTCGACGTAAGGTAGTCGCCATCCAGGTCAGCAATCCAAGTATAAATATGCTGTCTGCTTTCTTCCCATCATGTTCCCCCCAAGGTATTCACGTTTAAGCACCATTCGAACTTTTCCAAAGTCATATATTGAGCCGTTCCCTCCAAATTGCTGTCTTTGATCTCGAAAACTTGATCTCTCCCTCTGGCAATATGGATAATAGCTCGGCTGTGTCGATGAGTGTCAATTTCAGTACCGGAGAAGGGTGAATGCACTATGATCCCTCCATTACACTTCCCAACACTAATACCCAGTTAGGTCCAATACGCCCAACAATCCATCCAAACAAGACACTCAACATCTGATGGGAACCCGTCTCACGTTGTGGCTAAACGACGTCGAAGCTCGATCGGTTGCTATAAGTGCGCAGCAGTCTAGCATACCAACTCGCAATGGTCAAAAGACACAAAAAAGCCATGCTTCTGCTCTCTGACTTTGCTATGTGGCCAGGATGAGGCATCGTAAACCTACTCTGTCCTCACCTCGACTCACAATAGCCCCTTATCTAGCTATAGCTACTCCCAACTGTGTTGTGTACACATAAACACTTGGAAGATATACTCCGCGTTAAGCCTCCTGAAATTTTTATAGAGTTATTGCTTGCATGGATCTGCGGTATGCCGTAAACTTCACGGCGTAAAGTTGCGCTTGTAGCGCTCTGCAACTGGTACTATGCAGCAAGAAGCACACCTGGACAATTGAGTCGCATATTAGATAGCCAAACCGAATGCTGTGGTAGTCATATCGAGACAGAGTCGATTGCTTGAATACATTCCGCTTGCGCAAAAATGTGCCTGTTCCCCCCTATCCGTAACTTGGGCTAGGCCTGACTGCAAGATGACATGTCCACCACAACGCTGTTCAGAGAGATTTAGTTTGTAAAAGTGGCATACAGCAAAACAAACATGAAAATTGGTCAAATTCTCAGTGCCATGGCTAAGTTACCTACCCATATTCCAAAAACAGCTCCTAGAAACCAAATTACTACTTAATCTTCGGATGTAGAAAGGCCACTTAACGAGCATACAAGCCCTTACACCCCTGGCAATTGCACTCAACAAAGCACTAACATGCGTTTTTATCCTTTCGAATACATATACTGTTTTATAGAATTCCCATCACGGTACAATCAATATAGAGAAGTTAACCACGGACTCTACTGAAGCTTAACACAGAGACGAGCTTAATAGAAGACGACTAATAACAGTCTTTGGTATCAAAGGTCCTTGGTTTTCCTCAAGGCCTTAAAGGTTAAAGACGTCTTTAAATACAAGAAGTTAGTAAGGACCTTCTGCCCTAGGTCCCGTGACCGTAGCCCTTGTGTAACCTGCGATTTCCGTGTAACATCTAATCAGTTGTCAATATACTCGCTAGACCGTTACATTGTAGTACTAGACTCTTTACAGGGTATATACAAGGTAATCTTTGGCAGTCGTAACCGCTGCCGAGGCAAGCAAAATCTTTGGTGTACAGGGATGTGATGACTATTCTGATTGGGCTTTCACTTCAACACGGTCACAAAAGCCTAGTGAAACGTGCGATCAAAATGTAAATAGTCCGGAAAGCAGTTTTTACTAACATTCAAAGGGAGCTGATCATGACATGTCTACCATCACTCCAGTATGTAGTATGGTGTTATATTTTAGCGGTCATGACGGCCTTTAGCTCGAGGTATTCCTCCAGACCATATTTACCTCCTTCACGTCCAAGCCCCGAATCCTTGACACCTCCAAATCTGTGCAAACAAGATCAGCATCGTTCCAACGGTAATAATACACAGGTGTGGACTTACGGCACCGGTGCATCTGAGATAATTGCCGTGTTGATAGCGACCATTCCGGTGCGCAACTGCTCCGACGTACGTTGTGCCCGGCCCAGGTCGTTGGTCATGATATAGGCAGCAAGGCCGACTTTCGTATTGTTGGCCCGTCGAATGACCTCAATCTCGGTCGAGAATCTGAAAATGCCTGCCAATGGCCCAAAGGTTTCTTCACTGGCGACTTTCATATCATCGTCAAGCCCAGCCAAGAGCGTGGGCTCGAAAAATTGAGGTCCTGCCGTCTTTAGCTGCTGTTTCCCCTGTTCTGGTAGACAAGGACTCACCAAGATGCGACCGTGTGCCTCCCACCACCACCCGAGCACCCTTGCTTACGGCGTCGTGGATATGTTCTTCGACTTTGGCTACAGCTTGTTGAGAGATGAGTGGTCCAATATCGACCTGTTTGTTGAAACCAGATCCTAGCTGCAAGTTGGCGATTTCTCCTGCTAGCCGTGAAACAAAAGCATCGAAGATGGCGTCCTGAACATATATTCGATTAGCGCAGACACATGTCTGACCTGATGATTTGAATTTGCTCTTGAGACAGCAAGCAACGGCTGTGTCCATGTTTGCGTCGTCGTACACAATAAAAGGTGCATTCCCGCCCAGCTCAAGACTCAGCTTCTTCAGAGTGCTGCCGGAATTCTCTGCCAAGATTTTGCCAACTCTGGTAGAACCAGTGAATGACACTTTTCGGATAGCCTCGGACTTGCAAATGGCCAGCCCAAGCCTGGGAGTATCTTCCAGGGCGGTTATAACGTTGACGACCCCTGACGGAACACCGGCGCGTTCACCTAGCTTGACGATTGCATTGGCCGTATATGGAGTGAGACCATCCGTCTTGATGATGACGGTGCATCCAGCAGCGAGGGCAGGAGCCGCTTTGCGAGTGACCATTGCCGCGGGATAATTCCACGGGGTGATCAATGCGCAAACCCCAACCGGTTCCTTGGAAACATGCACGCTGATGTCGCGATTTGAATGCGGGATGATGTCGCCGTAAATCCGTGCAGCCTCCTCAGAGTACCAGTCGAGGAAACTCGCAGCAAACAAAACCTCCCCAGCTGCGTCGGCATATGATTTCCCATTCTCCCATACGATGAGTGTAGCGATGTCGTCCTTGTTCTCTAGGATCAATTCGTACCACTGCCTCAAGATGAGACTTCTCTCCCGGCCAGAATACTGTCTCCAGAAATCCAAAGCCGTTGAAGCCGCAGAGACTGCTCTTTCTAGATCAGCCACTGAGCACTCGGGGCATTCTCCGATGATTTCGTTGGTGGCCGGATCTACCATGGTCTATTAGCTCAAAGGTTCGAGTGGGCACCGACTTAATGCCTACCAAACACCTGGAACGTTCGGCAAGACTGCGAGTTTTGCCAGTGGCCTGCGATGTAAGCTTTCTCGATGAACAAACCCTTGTCCGCGAGCGTTGGAGGCTTGTGTAGAGACATTTTCAGCATTGGATTGGAGGGTAGGGGGGTGGAATCCTAGCTACGTAGTGGATGGATTATATAGTTGATGGAAGATGGGTTCGAGAGCGCGGACAAGGTTTGCGAGCGAGTATTAATCACCTAATAGGGCGTCACTTACATTCCGCGTGGCAGCCTCACACGAGAGGATTCTTCTGTGTCGCATTGATTCCGTCGATTCCCAAACCCGCTTAGCCTTTCCGGAACATCCATGTCACCACAGGCCGGGCAATCTCACCTACTTCTGGCGCCATTGGTGGAGTCAATTCCAGTGCGGGAAATCCGGCTCCGGTAATGTGGAGACATCTCCGAGAGCGAGATTATCGGCTCCGAGAAAGCCAATCATAACACCCGGAACTTTGCTGGCGGCTCCGAGAAATACAACCATGGCGCCCAGCATCTTGCCGGCAGCTGCGAGAAATATAACTGTGATGCCCAAACCTTTGCTGGCGGCTCCGAGAAATACAACCATGGCGCCCAGCATCTTGCCGGCAGCTGCGAGAAATATAACTGTGATGCCCAAACCTTTGCTGGCGGCTCCGAGAAATACAACCATGGCGCCCAGCATCTTGCCGGCAGCTGCGAGAAATATAACTGTGATGCCCAAACCTTTGCCAGCGGCTCCGAGAGATAAATCCAGAATATATAATGACCAATTAGATAGACAACTGAAGCCATCAATCTCAAGGCTCTCTAGACGCCAGCTTTAACTGAAGATTGTCTGATATCGCAACAAGCATGTCGCCCACGGTTCAGGCTCTCGAGGTGGACGAGTCTAAATCGGCATATTATGCACCAGCCACTGTTCGTGTGCATGGAAACACCATCTACGTCTCTGGTCAGGCCGGTGTTCAATCAGACGGCTTGGTACCCAGCGATTATGAGTCCCAGATTTATCTAGCTCTTGTGGCACTGCGAAAAATTTTGATCACGGCTTCGGCAACCGTCGCCGATATTCTCAAGCTTACGCTCTATATTGTCAACTACGACGCCGATAATCGCAAGCACGCGAAGCCGCTTCAGAAATTTCTGAATGGTCACAGACCAGCCATCACTCTGGTGCCGGTTGCACAGCTGGCAGACCAGAGCTGGCTGTTTGAGATGGACGCCGTAGTGGCACAGCCTTCGTCAACCAAAATCTTGGGGCAGAGTCGACCGACTCCATCTCAACGAGCGGAACGACCAGATGTGGATGTGGTCATCATTGGCGCCGGCCTGGCTGGACTCACAGCTGCTGAGCGTATTATCAAAGCCGGCTTTTCATGCCTCATCCTAGAGGCCAGGGGTCGCGTCGGTGGCCGCACCTCCAGCCAGCCCCTTTCCGACGGTCAAGGCATCATCGAAATGGGAGCTGCCTGGCTGAATCGCACGAATCAAAGCCGGACTATTGCTCTCGCAAAGAGATTCGGGGCCGAGCTTATCCAGCAAAACACTACGGGCAAATGTGTGCTCCAGGATGGGAAGGGAAACATTATTCACTTTCCTTACGGCGATGTTCCTGACGTGAGTGGTGGAACCAAAACCCTTGTTACGGTGTATGGAGACATCTGACTTGTCATTAGATTCAAACTACCACAAAAGATCACCTGATAAAGATTCGTGATACGATTGAGAATGACTGTCAGAAAGTCGATCGCTCGCTTCCTCGAGATCCATACTTGGACTCGATCACGTTTGCCGAATACCTACGTAGCCATGGGGCAGACCCGGATGCAGTTGCTACGGCCACCCTTTGGACACGGGCCATGTTGGGACAGGAGCCCGAGGACATCTCTGCTCTTTTCTTCTTGCACTACTGCAAATCAGGTGGAGGTCTGCTGCAGATGCGTTCCGACAGAGAGCATGGCGGCCAATTCTTGCGTGTGAGGCAAGGCACGCAACACCTGGCCAACAGTCTTGCCGCGTCTCTCCCAGCGAAAAGCATCCGGCTGTCCAGCCCTGTGACAACGGTCGAAAGCCTCGACACACGCAGGATCCAAATCTCGGGTCCAAACGTCAATGTTACAGCTCACAAAGTCATCAGTGCCGTTCCCCCACCGGTTCTTTCAAAGTTGACATTTATTCCGGCCCTTCCATCGTCAAAAATGCTCCTGGCGAGTTCCCATCAGTATGGATTCTATAGGAAAGTCATGGTATCATTTCGCAGCCCCTTTTGGGTGAACAAGGGCTTCTGCGGCCTTGTCCAATCGTTCCATGGCCCGATCAGCGTCATACGTGACACCAGTGTTCCAGCTGACAACAAACACGTCTTGACATGCTTCATGGCCGGCTCTCCCGGTGAAAAGTGGTCACAATTGCCTCCCAAACGACGCAAAGAAGCTCTTCTTCACCATATAGGTGATGTATTTGGAGAACCAACAAAGGTCAAGGAGCTGGTCATTGAGATTTTGGATTATGCCTGGAACGAGGATAGTTTTAGCGGGTACGGATGTCCGTCTGCTTCGTTGCCACCTGGGGTGTTGAGCTCTGTTGCCGATGTGACCAGAGATGCTGTGGGCGACATTTACTTTATAGGCACGGAAACTGCCGAAGAATGGAAGGGGTATATGGAAGGAGCAATTCGTAGCGGAGAGAGAGGAGCTTTGGAGGTCATCCATGACTTGAACCACATCCCCCCCAAGATCTAGATGATACACCAATTGGAAGATCTCTAGAGTCATAATCATCGGATCTTGTTGGCTTAGAGGTCTCAGTTAATGTGATTAAGGTATCCTGTCTTTCTTTGTGAGATGAGAAGACCGCACTCTCTGTATAGATTCTAAGTGAAGGGTGGCAATTGTCGCGCTGCGCGGTTTCAAGTTTTATATTCATTGTCTCTGTCTTTTCTCCTACACAGCGGAAACTCAAGATGATACTTTCGAAATACTGCCTTCAGGCAGCAGTATTACGACTGCTGTTGCCACCCAGTCAGCAAAACGGTTACGTGGCCTGACAACAGAGGCGCCATTATCCGACAGCAATATCTTGTACAGAGGGGTAATCTAAGACTTTAGAAAACTAGTAGAGAATTTCTATTGAGTAAGATCTCTAGAGATTAGGAAGCTTGAGATACTATTCTGTATATTCTCTTCTCTCTTAACGCAGTCGCTAGATAATTACTCTGAGTATATTTAGGCTTATAAAATATACCATATGTGCATAGCGAGTGCCACAGCATAGCGAGCAACCAAGGTTCACAACGAGCCCACAGTTCTGAGTTGCTAATGACCCACGAAGGTATGATTGGAGGGGATCGTCGATCGGACTTCTGGATTCTTGGCGGCGAGGAATTCAAAGTAGGCGGACCCACAACTTCAACAACTCCGAGACAGGCAGGTGGGGCTTTACGGCCGATTGGTGGATTACTTATCTTATCTTATCTCAACACAACGCAGGCAAAATTTCAGAAACTTTGAAAAGTTGCATCCCACGTATTATTGCAACCTCGACGGGCGCATACACTTCTCGGCCACAATGGTGAAGCGAAAAGTTGCGGCGCTGGAGAAGCTCGATGCAGACTTGTACATTGCTCACTCAAATCACTTCATACGTCAGACGCATGCTAATTGCTTTCTTCCAGCGCGAGTTTGCAATACAAGATTCGTCGGGATCCCAAGTACGTCCCCTTGCCCCCTTTAAAAAAAATCCCATGAGCTCTCTAACTCTTTCTGGTTCAAGATCTTACAAAGATGACTTTCTCAAGCAGTGGGAGCAATATGAGTCCCAGCGCGAGATCTTCCGAGCGAACCCGGCCGGCGGGACCGCCGACTCGATCGAATCCTTTCACAACATGATCGACTTGATTGCCCACGTCGCCGACTGCTACCCCGAGGAGACAAGGACATATCCGGATGACCTGAAGTTGATCTTGAACGAACACCACGTTGTGCTGCATCCTGATCTGAGGGACAAGGTCGTGGGGAGTCTTGTGCTCTTACGTCGCAAGGACGTCATCGACTCCGCGAGCCTTCTGACGACCTTGTTCCCCATCCTGGTGTCGTCGCCGAGCAAAACACTACGCGAACTGCTGTTTCAGAAAATCTTGAGCGACATGAGGAACTCAAATTCCAAATCGATCAATCACCCGCTGAATCGGACCGTCCAGACTGTTCTGTACAACTTGGTTACTGCAGATCGATCCTCGCCGAGGGCCATTTGGGCCATCAAGCTGACGCGCGAACTGTGGAAGCGACAGATCTGGACCGACGCCAGGCCCGTAGACGTCATGAAGGAGGCGTGCTTGTCGGACAATGAGAAGGTGGTGATTGGCGCCACGCGCTTCTTCCTGGGCGGCGACAAGGAGAGAGAGGAGTTGGAAGACGACAGCAGCGACGACGAAATCGACTTGTCCAAAATCAGGCACCAAATCGGCATCAACAAGAAGACCAAGAAGCAGAAGAAGACGTATGACAAGGCAGTGAACAAGGTCCGGCGAGACCAGCAGAAGAAGGCCAAGCCTCACCCGTTGAACTTTTCGGCTCTCCACTTGCTACATGACCCCCAGGGGTTCGTGGAGCAGCTCTTCTCCAAACACCTTCAAAATACCAAATCAAAACTATCCCTAGATTCCAAGCTTCTGGTGCTGCAGCTGGTCACGCGACTGGTCGGGCTGCACAAGCTCACAGTCGTCGCGCTATACTCCTGGTTCATCAAGTACCTCACCCCTCGCCAACAGTCCGTCACCTCCATCCTAGCATCACTAGCGCAAGGCACCCACAACCTAGTCCCCCCCGATGTCCTCGAACCGCTCATCCAAAAGATTGCCAACGAATTTGTCTCGGAGGCAGCAGCGGCAGAGGTCGCCGCCGCCGGTCTCAACTCGATTCGCGAGATTTGCGCCCGACAGCCGCTGGCCATGACAGACACCCTCCTACAGGACCTCGTCCAGTACCGCAAGAGCAAAGACAAGGGAGTCATGATGGCCGCCAAGGGCCTGCTATCCCTGTACAGAGAAGTCGGCGCGGAGCTCCTGCAAAGAAAGGACCGAGGCAAGGACGCCACCATCGGCCTGAGGCACGGCCTGCAGCACCAGCAAAAGTTTGGCGAAGAAGCGGCCGGCAGCATAGAGGGGCTCGACCTCCTAGCCAAGTGGAAGGACGAGGAGAAGAAGAGGCGGCGGCTGGAACGGGGCCTCCCGGAAACAGCCGGCAGCGACGAGGAAAAGGACAATGAGGAAGACGGCCTCGACTCGGACGAGTGGGAGGTGGGCTCCGACGACAGCAGCGACTCGGGCGAGTGGATCAACGTCGAGCACTCGGACGACGAGGCCCCGGCCCTCAAGAAGCAGAAGCAGGGAGACGGCGACGCCTCGGACAGCGAATCTTCTTCTGCGGCCGCCCAGCTCGAGCGCATGCAGCTCCTGGCCACCACCACCATCCTCACGCCCGCCGACCTCGCCAAGCTGCAGGAGCTCCGCGCCGCGGCGGCCATCGAGTCGGCCGCCTCGGGCCACCGCAGGCGCGGCAACCCCGACGCCCGTAGACACACCGACGACGGCCTCACGGCGGAGAACATCGAGGCGCCCGCCAAGCTGCGCAAGCTGACAAAGGAGGAAAAGGTGGCGCTCGCCAAGGAGGGCAAGCCCGACCGCGAGGAGCACAAGTCCACGCAGGCCATCAAGAAGAGCAAGAAGGAGGCCGCGGGCAAGAGCACGAGCAACAGGGAAAAGGCGAGGAAGAAGAATTTCCTCATGACGCTGGGTAAGGCGAAGAGCAAGCAGAAGAGGAGCCTGGTCGAGACGAGAAAAGTCCTGAGGGGCCACGTCGAGAGGAGCACGAGGGGCGGGCGGAGGAGGAACTTTGCCTAGACTTAGATAACTTTTACAGAGACATCACGACGGACGAAATTTGCCTTGGTGTTCAGCCTATTAGCTTGTCATGTTATTGATGTGTATCTATTTGCGCGTACAGCCAGTGCGAACATCTATACTCGGTGTACATGGTCCCCCCTTTCCCTGCGAATACCAAATTCTCTGACAAGTCCTTTGCCAATCCTGCTGTAGCTGTTGGCTCGCGCCTAGTCTTGTCCGTTCACGCCGTCCCACCGGGTCGGGAGCCGCCCAAACTCATATTGCATAGTGTGATGGCGGCCTGGATGTCCTCCAGTCCCATGTCTTTAGCGCGACACACGGCAATTTCTTTGGTGACGACAATCTGACAAGCACCTTCGTTGTCGGAGCGTGCTGTCTGGACGACGACTGCTGATGCCGAGTACGCGGACCATGCGCCCTGGACATTTGTAGATCCTACTTCGGTGCTTGTGGTTGTGTCGTGGTTGGCGTCAGCGGTGAGGCCGCTTTGTCTGCCTTGCCCTGTGTGGGAGTCGGTTTCGGACCCGGCAGAGGAGATTTCGTGGATTCCCATTGTGCGAAGGTGGCCTCGAGTTTTGTGATGGACTTGGCTGGGACGAGTTGTGATGAGTGTGAGGGCTTCGACGTAAAACGCTAGAGGACAGTTGCGGGTGATGATGTGGTAGGATGAGTTTTGCGGCCTCTTTTCCATGGGATTAATGTGCTTTATATGCCAAGGGGACATGGTTGCCGAGATCTTCACCGGCTTCTTTGTCCGTCAGATCACCACGTCTGTTCGCTTGAAGTTCGTCCCTCTGTACAGTGAACGCAGCACTATGAGAATATCAAACAATGAAACAATGAATACCATCTAAACACAACATTGGATAACCCTTTAATGAACGCCCATCTATGCTATAAATCCTTTGGTGCCGAAGCCAGTGCAGCGTCCGTCTCCACAGTATTTTCCTTCGTAACATGCCCGATGTGTGCATGCTCTTCCCTTGATTTCTCATCATTTGATGTTGATTTGCTGTTCTCCTCGTCCTCCGCCCGATGTACAATGCCAATCTCAGCCTCACCAAGAGAGTCGACAACATTTCTGTATGCGGGAACAAAGTTGACACAGGCAGCGTATGTCCAAGCCATTATCATGAATATCAGCGGCACAAACATGGCGTAGCCGTCACCAAATGTATCTCCTGCAGCGCCTGTTGCGGGCGGGACAACGGCACCTCCAACGACACCGCCGACAATATAGCCACTGCCGCGCTTGGTGTGTCGACCCAGGCCTCGCATGCCGAGGGCGACAATGGTAGGGAAGCAAATGGACTCGAAGAATAAGACGACGTAGAGCATCGAGATGCCCGTGTTGCCGCGCTGGGTTATCGACGGGCAGAGAAAGATGATACAGCACGAGATGAAGGCAAGGAAAACCCATCGCGGACGGACGTATTTCATAATGCCGACACCGGTGAATCGTCCAATGGCGAATGCTGCCTGCGCCCCAGCAAAGAACTTGGATCCGAGGGAGTCGGATGTGCCTGGGCGGGTGGCTGTGGCATAATTGATGAAGAAGCTAGCAACGGCTACTTGAGCACCCGTGTAACAGAATTGGGCAAATGCGGCATGGAATAGTTTGTACTGCTTAATGAATGGTTTCTCTGTGGCGCCGGCATGTGTTTCCTTTGCTTGGAACTCCATGTCTGTGCCATGTTAACCGCCTGCATATTGTGGCGCCGTCTCTGTGAACGAAAACAAAGAGAAAAAAGGGGGGGCATACCGGCATCAGTGATTTCTGGGATATCAGATATGAAGAACAACGTGGCGAGCAGGAGCACAAAGATGGCAATGGCTAGATAGACCCACTGGACATTGTCAAGCGCACGCTCATCACTGAAGTTGAAGAAGACGTATGAACCCAGCACCGGGGCAATGACGGTGCCCACGCCATTGAAGGCCTGTGAAATATTGATTCGAATCTCGGAGTATCTTGGAGGACCGCAGACTGTGCACTGCGTTAGTAAATGCGCAATGGCCATGAAAGCGGTAGGGCCTCGGTCTAGATTCGCACCTGTGATGTACGGGTTTGCAGCCGTCTCGAGCGACCCAAGGCCATTGCCAATAATGAAGATGCAAGCACAGAATCCGCCAAAGCTATGGTTCTTGAGTGCCGGAATGGCCAACAGAGCACCAAGGGCATACAGACACAAGCCCCATATGAATACAGCACGGTAGCTGTAATGCCGAAGAATCCATGCCGCATGACCAACGGAGGCCAGAGGATAAGCGCTGCCCAACATGTCAGCTTGTGTACGGAGTGCGGCCGAATAAGAGCCCCCCTCCCCAGCCGTATTCATACCCAAAGTAAGCAGCCTGCAGACCTGCCGAACGTGATCGATTGATACCAAGTACAACCTGGAAATGCTTGTTGAGGGTATCTAGTAGACCATAACTAAATCCCCAGAGAAAGAATAAAACGGTAACCAGGCAAATGGGATAGATGGACTGGCGCAGAGTCAATTCGGCCGCTCGCGTACGGCGAGTATCGTCTGCCTTGAGCGAGCGCCGCTTGACGAACTCGTTGAAGGACATGGCTGGCGAAACTGTCGAGTGATTGTGTCCCCCTTGGCAGGCTTGGTAGGGCGACGCCTTTGGCGATGGTTACAAGAGCCAACTGCTTGTGTGCGCCTGGAGAATTTGACGACGGAAAAGACGACGCGAGGGCCGCTGGGGACGTCGATCATTTAACTTGATTCTGCCCCTCTCCCTCACACGTCTTGGAGAAGCCAGCCCTCGACGTGTCAAGGCGGTGCGACGTCGCCTCTCGCAAGTGTCGTACAATATCAGGTGGAGCACGACCGGGTGAAGAGGTGCTGGAGTGTGACGGTGGTCGATCACAGAGCGATACCCACCCACCTTGACAAACCAAAGGCCCGGTTGCGAGCCTTGGTGTCTGCAGTGTTTGTAGCTACTCCATGGTTGCGTGGTGGGTGCTAATTCAAAACCAAATGCGTGTTTCATGCGTGGCTATAAAGTCCCGACGGTAATTAGACTAGCGCAATATCCAGGGCCCACCAAATGGCGAGGAGTCGGGATGGAGCCGGCAGTGGGCAGAAGGTCAGCCTGGTGCCTTGGCCCCCCGAAAAGAACGTTGGTCTGCGAATGTCGTGATTCTCATCAGACTCGCAGGCGCCGGCCAGATGAGAGAGGAGAATTCGACAGGTTGCGGCCGTTGATGCCTCAGGAAGGTGACATCGCTGCGCATTGATGGCCCACGGCCAAAGGCTGCTTGCTTGGGAGCCAGCACTGCCCGCTCCCTCCCTCCACTCGGACGGCGAGATCAATTGATGCGAGACAACAGCCACCCAGTGGACTGGGTTAGGTTGTCCTTCCCTACCTGCACAACGATAAGCTCATGTGCTAGCCGATGCGCAGGTTTGGGGATTGGGCCTGCGGGATGCCACCTGCAGGCTGCAGCTGACTGGGCCGTTCCCCAGAATCGACACGGAGCGGGGAAGGGGATCTTGTCGAATTCATGATTGGCAATGACTGCGTTTCGGCCATTTCGTCTTCGACACAAAGATGGCCCGAAATGCGAACCCCCTTGCCACTTGGGGACCCGACGGCAAGCAGGCTGACAGGCTGAACCCAGCGTGCCGTGTCCTACAGAGCATGCAAGTTTCCATTCCGCATGTCTCAAAAGGCGATCGTTGACAGATTGCGGGGAAGTTTTGTTTTTGAGTTCGTGGCTACCCTGCCATGCGGAGAGGAAGGTGGTCCGCAACGCCTCTCAATGTCATGGTTGCAACGCACACACTAGAAGTTTTGGAAGATTCTTCTGGAGAAAAAAGCGCCGAATGCTTAACAACAGGCAAGGGTTAAAGATATGCACCCAAGAGGAAGATTCGCGAAAACACTAAATCTGCGCATAATCTCGGCAGGCGCCAGTGCCAGTTGCGACTTGCCAGGCACCTGTAAACACCTGCAAAAACCTGCGCACACCGACTCCGGTCTCGGGCCGTGATGTCATGTGGTTGGTTCTACAGAAATTGGCGCAGGGGGCGACTGGTCCTGACTAGCGCGCGACCTCGTTGGCCGTGACCGTCGCCATCATCACCACCACCACCGACACGTCAGCGGCAACCATTATTGCTTCGCCGAACCTCTGGCTGCCCACCGACCCCCTCAGCTGTACCTGCTCCGAAGCCCTGTTCCACATCCCTGTTCTACCTGTCCTACAATGCCGGCCCACGCGTGCCACCAAGCATGGGCTGCAATCCCTTTCGCCGACGGATGATTGCAGCTTAATCCGTCTCCCAAGACCTCAATATTGGGCCGTCAGAACGGATATGTGGCGTGCCAAGTCTAGTTTCTGAAGTGCGCTTGGAATGAAATACTATTGCCACGATGACCATCAGGATGCTATCAGGTGTACGTCCCAGGTCACACATGCTCAGATATTACATCATAACGCATAATACTGCGTGGGACCGGGAGTCTCTCCTGAGAAGGCGCGCGTCCACAATCATCTCGTTTGTAGTAAAAGTGTACAGAACCCAATTACCATCCAGCATGGGGGCCATGTCATGTAATATAAAATTCACCCAGGATGATATCAAGGCACGGATCCACTCTACGGAGTGCTGCCTTGAGTTTTCCTTCGAGGCGGTCTTGTTTTCAGCAAAATCACGCACTTTTCTTGACGAGCCTGGTTCGGCTCAAGGAATCAGCTGAAGGGCACCAGATCAAGAGTTCCCTACAAGTCGACGAATAGTTCATGGAGCAGGCAGGTTCATTCATGTACAATCTCGCCATTTTAGAGCAGCTTCGACGGTCAGGCAAAGCATGCTTTTATACAGGGCAAAACGTCCAAGGAAATGCAAAAGGCCGACGGCAGAATGAGCAAACCCGGACCCCAATTAGCGTCATGTACTCCTTGTTGAGAGCCATACGGGAGTGGAATACCTGGCGACGTTTGAAAAGCCTTCTTTAGGTTGGGTAAGTGCCTGAGGGCTATAGATAATTTGATTGGCTCGAATTTAGGCTCAAAGCTCGGGGTGAAGAAATGTGCTCCGCCATCCAAGTGTTTATATCAAACTACTGGTACAATAACTGGAGGAATAAATATCAATATCACGACGGGTAATGGCTTGCAGCGGTGAGCCACGGAGCGAGAAAATCTAACAATAGCGGCCTGATATCTCCTCTTCACTGTAATTGGCGTCTGTAGTCGCACCGCATGAGATGTCAAGGTAAACGGAAGATTCGATGAGCGTGTTGCCTAATAATAAGAGCCTGCCTGATTGGCTGGAGATCCTGCAGGGTACGAGCGTTGGGCCATTTTCAAAGCGGTCATTGATGGTATGGCATGTGCTGGCCAAAGTGCACTGACGCATTCATGGTACCATTTCGTGTATACGGTGAGAAGTTTATTATCAAATTAAATAAAACGGCGTAGATACTTCTGGCATCGCAACGGTCCCCAACACGCGCTCCAGCATCTGCTTCGTCATGGTCGAGAACTCAACGCGCGAGAACTGGTACCTCTTTACACCAGGTGCCACGGCGACCTGGGAAACGAAAGATTTTATTCACGAGGTGCTACTTGGAGGCAGCGTCGACCAAATCTGGTGGTGGGAGATGGAGATTGCCAAGGAAGTGGTTGAAAGTATGCTGGCACCTGGCGACCGCAAGCCCAATTCGCAAACGTCTCTACCGACATGTAACGCATCTACTGGTGAACGAGCCAGAGGCAGCAATCATGTCGGGGCGTGATAGTGACACAGTCAACCAAGACACTTGGCATGGTGTAGCTAACGTGGTTATTACTCCGTACACTTGGTGCCAAGGGGGCATCGTGGTACAACCTGGTATCGCAAACATGGGGCTGAACGTGCCCATGACGGTGAATGTTTGGAAATATCAATCTATTTGTCATCTTTGCGTCGCCACTTCCTGATGCCCTTTCCTTCTGTGGCCCATTCGCATGATTCAGTATGAGCCATCTTTTCATGTATTTCCATTCAAGTTTGCGGGATTGTAAGAGACTCGGCAAAGCTGCAAGTCAAGATTGTAATGTAAGCGGTCATGACAACGGACGACTCTGGGCACCAAAGGACCTCAGCAATCGGGCAACCTGATCATGTCCATTATCGGTAGCCCAAGATAGGGGCGTTAGGCCATGCGAGTCGACCGCTGAAGGGTTTGCTCCGTTCGCCAAGAGCACGCGTACCACCTTCTCATGGCCCTTTTCAACCGCCAACGAGAGAGGCGTCTGTTGGTCGTCTGGGTCAAGTGCCTCTATATTGGCACCTTTCTCGACGAGTATGTGAGCCATGACATCAGATCCCCCCTCTGCAGCCCACAAGAGTGGTGTTCGACGTGAATTATCAACAGAGTCAACCTCCATACCCTGCTCGGGAAGTGGCCTCACGACGGATTCATGGTCTCTCATTACCGCCCACGAAAGTGGCGTCCGGGGCGAATTGCCGGCTGCTTCAACACGAGCACCACGCTCGAGGAGCAATCGTACAGTGGCTTCATGTCCATTGTAAGCTGCCCTCAGGAGACAGGGGAGCATCCTTCATGTGCTCCCGGACCACTAGGTGATTGAGGAATAGAGTCTGCGTTCAAAAGCCTCCTGGAACAGTCTTTGGTGAAAACCACCGAGTCTTTGTTCATGTTGGCTGTTTCCTGAGCTGAACTATCGAGACAAGGTACGGCTATGAGCGATAAACGATTTCATATGGTTCGCTACATGGTCCACGACAAAATTGTACATTTGAGTCGAGTCTCCCTTGCTTTTCGCCACCTTTTCTCGTATCTCCTTGGGAATTTGTTCGCCAAGTGGGCATACAAATCACTTGCGTAGAGCGATTTGTTGTCTCCTAGGAGAAAGGGCGTCAAGCTGCACCGCGGTTGGGACAGACTCCTTTTTCGGGTGAGAATTGACATCTAGCATGTGTGCTCTCCACTGTAACTCGGTCTCAAAGGTCATAGAGGGGTCACGGTCCAAATCACAATACCACTGCATAGTATGCGCCTTGCGCAACCAATCTTTCGAATGGACAGATTCCATATGAGCCTTCCATTCGTGACGGTAAACGAAGGATACAAGAGACTCAGCGCACTCGGGGAACAGACAAGCATATGGCTTAATATCCTGGTCGACATGGCGTTTCCAATGGTCATTTCTCTCTTTCTCTGAGCTTCTGCGTTCCAAAGGCGTTGAACAAAGGGGAAATTGGATGCGAGTCTCTCCTTCGCTAGCTGTTGGGGGTGACGGATATATAAAAGAGTCTTGTTGCGTAGTGGAAATGGTGCTGATGGCTGTTGTCATGGTCCTTTGCGAGGGTAGTTGAAGTCGTTTAATGGCGGGTACCTCTGGGTCCATGTCCGACCGAGAAGCTGTTGTTTGGCCGGTGACAACCGTAGGATTAGGCGGTCGTCTATCTTTGCCCTGCTGGGCGGTCGCTGGTGTAGGCTTCAGATGATGATCTTTGCCTTGATTGGCAAGGGATACAGGCTTGGGAACTCGTCTGACAGCAAGTCTTATTGCATGCCGTTTCTTTTGCAATAGCATTCGACGTCGGGCCGCGATGGAATCTTCCAATTGCTGGCATAATCCCTCGCGGGCAGCTGGGAATCGGTAACGGACCAATGACGCCATGTCCTTACGAAAGGCAACATCTTGCTCGGTTAGTATGGCCGTGACCGTGTGATTCAGTTGCTTTGCTGATGCTTTGGCAACAGCCATAATGTGTAATCGATCTAGGGCGGAGTCGAGTCCCTGAGAGGCATCTTCCCATATTGTCAGGAAGCTTTGTTGCGCTTCTGAGTATAATGTCGTTGCATCGGGAGAGGGAAGCGAAAGACTTTCTGGCTTGCAATCGACTGGACTCAAAGTACCATGACGTGAATTAGCGAACCATCCGCAGACAAGTAATGTTCTTACATGACTATGGTTAGGCCCACTGCAATGCAAGTTTCTCAAAATCATCTCCAGCAACTCCATCACCATGGCAGAAATGTCAGCAAGACCTCGCAGTCTTTCATCCAGCGACGAATCCATCAGCGACAGGGCTCCTGTGTAGTCAATTCAAAACAAGAAGCTGTTGCGTAGGTCTCGGAAGTCAAAAGCCGAGCGTCTTTGTTTCCTAGAAGTCGCAGCGCCATCAGCTGGATTGAGCGAGTGCGTGAGGAATGAATTGGCATGATTTCCGACCACGCGGTCAAAGGAATCGAGACATTGGTGTGCAATGTCGGATATAGCAGTGGCTATGTCTCCTTGTGTGCCATCCATGCAGTCAGGTTGCCCTTGACGGATTGGCAGAGAGGCGGGGGGTTGAGCGTGTTCAATGTGCCTTGAGTAAAACTTGGATCAGCCAGACAAATGAAAATGTGCGGCGTACGAGTTCAAACATGGCTCGACTCTAGGTCGCCAAATAACGTCGAAACGAGACGCTTTGTCAGGCATATGCAGCAAGGGACCATGAAAGCCCAGCTGAAACCGCCATAAGGGAAGCTCAGCCTTGAAAGATGGCATTTACCTCCCCCTTTCATTCTCTTTTTTGTTTTATTTCCTGAAGGTTTCAACCTTTTACTAGCACAAGAATGCGCGTCTTGTCGGACCTAACTTCGGCCCGTGCGAGGTGGCGTGTTCTGCACAGTGCAGACCCTTCACTCTATTCCTGGTCACCGAGAACCTTCCGACCACAGAAGACGTCGATCAAGGTTGTTATGGCTCCTGGGCAGTTGACCAGCGCCATCATGGTCCCTTGCTTGTTCTCCCAAGCTCATCGCATTGTGGAAACTACCGACAGATGATCTCATATCAGAACATGTCTCAGACATCTCCGGCCCGACGGACACGAACGCTACTGATGGACGCACCGAGTCAAGCTGGCGATCTCGCGGCCACGCTTCCATGTCCCCGCCTCAAGCCGTTGGGCTATGATTAGGGTTATTCCATCACCCGTATAAGATTGGATCCTGGCATGTAGGGCATCAATCCGTCGCAGCTATTATCCCGCTTCTTCCAGTCTTGCATCAAGTTGGCGATACGCGGTATGCCATGCTTGTCTTACACTATGATCCCATCATCGAAAGTGTTACAAAACTAGTGACCCGTCCTTCCCAGTGGTGAGAAATCATGACATGGCTAGAAGCAACAGTGCCCCTATGCTGATAGAAATAAGACCAAATAGTAGAAGAAATTGACAGCATACAATCCAGGTGTCTATAAGTCGGAATACTACACAAACGACTGCTAATGTTACTACACATCTGTTTACCCATCTGTCCAGACATCCAGTGCCTGCCCAGGATGGTAATAATTACACGGACATAAGTTGACTACACCGGAAAGTCGAGAGCCTTGTCACATCGAAGCATTATTGTTCGACATGCGATTGAGGGTTTGGCATTTTCCAAGTGACACGAGACATCTTCAGGCCAGCAAAGGAAGACAGGACAATGACCACGGAGTAGGTCTTGAGGAGGCCAGTGAGACAAGGAGTAAAGCATTTCAAACCAACGTTGAAGTGTTGCCGAGAGCGGCAAGTTGGAACTGCCCTTATAGCTTGGCGCCAAGCTCAGCCCACGATTAAGAAATCAGAGTTGCAATACAGCCAGACATGGTGACACGTGGGTGTGGCCAAGACTTTATGTTCCCCAAGCCATCCTTTGGTGCATCTTGTGGAGGCAAATATATGCCATGATATGCGTGGCCCGTAGTCCCGCTCAACTCGTATCAGATGGTTGGCAGAACTTTCAACCTATTGCGGGGAAAATTGTTTTTTAAGCTCCTTTGATGTAAGCTTTTGGCAAAGCATCATATGTAAGTGAAAGAGAGTCGGGTCGCCTGCAGCATCGTTTCTAGGTTATAGGTCAAGAACCAACATCTAGGCATACTGAGCTGGATTTTGGCAGAAACCATTCGCATTCTTCGTGTAGCCCGCGTCGTGGGATTTCATCTCTCATAGGCTGCCCCAAATTGGATCGATGGCAACAACTAGTACACAACGGCTGAGTGCTCGCGTGCTTGGCATGTTTGCGCTAGCTAGTTTTTGCCACCGAGAGTTGATGTCTGCATCGGTGCATGTGCATGGAGTACATGTATTCATCTTGGTCAAGTCCTGGTAACCACTAACATGGCCCCAACGTGTATCCATCAAGATGCGACGCATGTGATGCGTCCCTTGCTTCAGCAGAAAACCCGCTGTCGCTAAATAGTACGGGGACTCGTGGAATCTCTTGGATCCCACGTGGTGCACCTGGACCGGCTACCAAACCGCGGAACCAGTGGCGAGTGAAGAGCCAGATTCAAATTCGGGCTGGAGAGAAGATACAGAGCTACCAACGATTCATGAATTCAGTCCGGAGGTGTCTTGGTCATTGTGCCAAGCATAACCATGGCCTTTTCACGTTCCATGTGCCAAGTCGAGGAGGAAAAAGTCGCCAAAAGGCCAAGATAATTGCCAAGGTGAGGCGCTGCAGAAACAATTCGTTGCTCGCAACAGGAGTCGAGTTGTTCCTACACGTGTAGTCTGCAATGCCCATGATTGGTCTAGACAGGAGGTCATTGCCAGATCTGGCACGGCTTGGCGCTGCCCCTATCCGCTTTTCGGCTTGGCGCGCTAACTCTGATTAGACTCTGGATTAAGCTTGTCTTTTACCTCGTGCTCATAGCCGGGTTATGGCCGGGTTGAGTTGTGTCGTTGCGTGACGTTGAACAGTGGCGTTTGCGAGTCGCTTGTTGCTTCCTCTGTGGGAGAAGGACATCAAGCATGTACGAGGCTGACTGGTCTCATCGGCCATCTGCCATTGGACCGAGACCTCACATGTTTCGCGCTGCTTTCCAAGAAGACCCTTTGGCCATCAAACATCCCTGATACGGCGTGCTGACTTGTCTGCTCGTGAATACACTAGACAGCAAGAGCGATAAACGATCCTCGTCGCCATCCTCTGGGCTCTGTCACGAGAGGCGGGCCATTTCACCACTGCACCCACTCACACGTGTCGAAGAACACGATACTATTCTTCATCAAACAATCTTGACTCGACAGAACGTTCAAGTCAAGTATCATGGCCGTCTTAACAATCATTCAGACGAGACGACCAGGCGTTTGTACAAGTGTTTGCTAATCCGGGGTTTCCAGCCGCTCCGCTTCGTTGTGCTGCATGCCGTGGAATGCCCTTCTTCAAATTTAATTCCTAGTCACGCCTGTCAAAAGGACAATGAATAGTGCGGTGCAAACATGCCTTTGCAACCCCTCAAAGGCTTCCAAGATGATGCTTGGAACTTGGAAGCCAAGGCCCCACCAGCCCTTCTTCAGACAGTCCTACAGTCTCTTCTCTGGGCGGCCTCCTCCAATGAGCATAAAGCGTCGTAGCACGACTGCGAATCCGTCATGTGTAACTCGCATTAATCCTCTAGGCTAGGTTTTCTCCTAGTCGGCCTTGGCCCTGCATGCTGTCAACGCCACATGGAGAATGTCCTTCGAATCAACGACTTGCCTGTCCGACGTGTATATGTCTCCGTCATGTCCACACCCATAGTTTTTCTATATAGGCCGCTGAACACCTTTCGCTTGCACCATTTGATATCCGTTTCTCCAAGCCGAACCTCGGGTCACCCAGTCTGCCGTCCGTCTTGCCACTCTGCTGGGATCGAGGCACCCTTCCACCTTGCCGTGGTTTGTACATGGGAGCCCATTACATGCACACCAAGAGATAAACGGGGACAACAACAAGAAGCGCAAAATGACGCTCCATCAGTACGACTACCTCTTTGCCGTTGGCACCATCTTTGCGTTCCTCGATGCCTGGAACATTGGAGCCAACGATGTGGCCAACTCGTGGGCCTCGTCGGTCTCGTCCCGATCCGTCAGCTACGTCCAGGCCATGATCGGTGCCAGTTTGATGGAATTCAGCGGCGCCCTCGGCGTGGGCGGCCGTGTCGCCGATACCATCCGAACCAAGGTCGTCGACGTCGGTGCCTTTGAGGAACGGCCCGCCCTCCTCATGCTCGGCATGGTCTGCGCCGTCATCGCCTCCTCGTGCTACCTCACCGCCGCCACTCGGTTCGGTATGCCCGTCTCGACCACGCACTCCATCCTGGGCGGAGTCTTGGGCATGGGCATTGGCGCCCTCGGCAACACCGGCATCACCTGGGTGGGCTACAACAAGGACGGCTCCGTCGACCTCAAGGGCGGTGTAGTCCAAGTCTTTCTCGCCTGGGTCATCGCGCCGGTTCTATCTGGCTTGTTCGGCGCGGCCATCTTCCTCATCACCAAGTACGGGGTCTTGTTGCGATCGAATCCCGCCTTGAGAGGCCTCTTCCTCGTCCCCATCTACTTTTGGATCACGGCCTCGCTCATCGTCATGCTGCTGATCTGGAAGGGTGGCGACTACGAAGTTAAACTGACGGACGCCCAGATCCCCGGTGTCATTGTAGCCACGGGCGCTGCCTGGGGTCTGCTGGTGTGCTTGTTCCTTGTGCCCTGGATGTACCGGGTTGTCATCAAGGAGGACTGGCAGCTGAAGTGGTGGCACATTTTTCAGGGCCCCCTTCTTCTCCGCCGAGGCGAGGTCCCTCCGCCCCCGGAGAACTTCACTGGCGTTGTCCGCAACTTCTACGAGGGCCATTTAACCCGAGAGGAACTCGAGGCTCGACGTGCCCGGGCCGCTGCCACCACCGAAGATGTCGAGGGTCAACACGAAAAGACGGCCGCCGCTTCCGACATCTCCGCCCCA